AGTTAGCATTATATTTGTGTCAAATTCCTCCAATAAGGCGATCCGTTATGCGTTTTATCGCTTGCCTTGTTGATTTCATTGACTCAGGCTAAGTGCGCCTCGGTGCAGCCAGCTTTTGCTGTGTCATATGGTTTTCTGTGGGACTTTCACTGTAGCTGTACACGTGGGGAATGTCACAACCATCTCATATGCATTCCAGTTCAAAGGTTACAGTATGGTGTGACTTCCAGAGGGCCCTCCCACCGCAGCTCGCACCTGCCTCCTCCCTGAGAGGGCCGTACTTCACTCCAGACGCCGGGAGATACTGTGACTGGAATCGGGGAGTCGGAGGGAGGGGTCAAAGGTGGAGGGTTAATGTCTGCTGACACTCCGCCTCCCTCCTTCGGAGACAATCAGGCGTCTGAATTTAAGCTCTCCTATGTTTGCACTTCGGAGCTCAGAGAGCGCCAGGCCAGAGCTGACCTTTGACCGTTTTGCATCTGTTTCTGTTGCGTGGGTAATTTTAAATAGTCATGGGGATACTGTATTGGTCGTTTCTTTCTCTTTTTTTTGTCTAAAACATCTCTAACAAGGCCTGAGGGTCAAGAAGCTTCTTTTCTGACTGGGTGAACAAATCAAATCTGCATAGTTCATCCAGGGATCTCAAGGATAATCTGCCCCAGTTACCACCAAGTGAACTCATGCCAACGCAGAAGGTGAATCACAGAGAAGTCGGCCAAGTCACAGTATTAAACAGATGAAAATATCAGGAAATGCTTTGGCATATATATGACTTTACTCTTTATTGTCTTTGTCTGCTGAGTAAACATACACCTCAGGCATTTTGTCTTTTGTTTCACAGATCTACACTAAGTCACAAAGGACGAAACTGTAGGTGTGGCATGATGTGTACACCTTCCTTTTTACCCTAAACTAACTAAAGGCTTGTCAGTTTAGGGCAAAAAGGGGCAAAAACTTTACAGTTCAAAGGGTTAATTTCACCTTCGCTCACACTAAATCAAATTTATCTGCAGTCGTATTTAAAAACACCGGCTGCCAGCATCGAAACTCAGAGGAACGTGACCTATAAGATTATAATATTACATCTGACCAATTAAACGGCATTTTCAATGCAGAAATGTCATGAAACTGTGTTTCATGACATTTGTTTCAATCTAACAAATGACCCTCATTGGAACAAGTTCCAATTTATTCACTGTGACTGTATAGAAAATGTGTTGAGGTTTGTCCTTCTACATTGCAGTCTTTTATAATTCATTGATGTGCCATTATTGTTGCTAGTATTGAGACTTTTTTGTTGTTTTTACTGCTCCATACACTGATAATGTCGTTCATGTTAGCATTTTTGCTCTTACACATACAGTTAACAATACAACACAAGTTCTGAGATTGTATTTCCCTTTCTTTAATGTAAAGTATCAGACCACAGGGTTTCTACTTCGATATTAAATAAAGTTAAAAAAAAAAAAGGAACATGACATTGCAGTGTTGCCTATATATGTCCGTGTTGCTGTTCTAAGTTATCAAAAGACACTTCGGACGGGAGACGGAAGCAGGAACTGCAATGTCCAACTCTGCTAAATGTGCGGTGTTTTTCTTCCGCTTCACAGTCGTGCCCAGCACTATTTCGATCTGTCCCATAAATGCACACGACTCAATTAAAAATGCCGGAGCCTTTAGTGCGAGCCGGTGTGTGGGTTTTTTGTTTGGCCGCGTGTTTGCCCGCAGTCTGTTAGGAGCGCTTTCAAAAGTTGAGGAGCAATGTTCTCGCCTTGTGTGTGATTTAGCACTTAAACAGGTTTATTCTTTCTTCTTCAGTCAGTATCTGCAACAGACATTCATTACACAATCGGCTACATCCCACAAGTAAATAACAATATGCCTAAATGTTGTTGTTTCTTTTTTTTTTTTTTCTTTGTCAGCCACAATTTGTCCCTACCCTGGAGGTCAAAGGCCAAACTTTCCAGAGCCGCATTTCTGTGAAAAGCCTCGGGGGGCAAAGTTCAGTTCGCCCCGGGGGAAGTGGCAGTGGGCTTGATGAAGGGGAGGATATTGTATCTCCATTTATGTGGCATTCGAGGGGGTTGGAGTTCAAAGTTGAAAGGTCGCTGCAGGTCGGAGGTCACCGGTTGAGATAGCATCCAAACTGCTGAGCCAAGTGTGCTCCTCTGACTCCGAGGCTGTCGTGTCAGGGCCCCCCGGCCGGGTCCCGGGGCCGCAATCAGGAGGCGGCAGTAAACGCAGCAAACGCCGACTTTTGTTTTATGTAACGCGCTCCGCCCGGGACTTTGATCGCACTTTTAACTGCTGTTGCAATCAAAATGCAAATTGAATGTAACACCTACTGCGAAGAACAGCCTTGTAAAAGAAAACTATCCGGTTTACCTTCGCTGACGTGTTGAGTGCTGCCTCTGTTTATATTACCGCCAATGAACTGAATTACTGTTTAAACACCGCGGCAGGGTTACGGTAGGTTAGGAGGCGCAGTTTCCAACTGGCTGAATACAAGTGGCCAATAACACAGCGTGATGTGATAACACAGACGTGGGAGGAGGAGAGGGAGCACACACACACACACACAAGCAAACACGCGCGTAGGCATATACACAAACTCCTACACACCTCCCACCCCTGCCTTCTCCATCCTGGATCTGAAAAGGGAAACAGAGACGAGCATGGCGTTGGAAGTAGGTTATGTTGTTGTGTTCTTATTCGTGAGAACACTGACGTTCCCCGGGCCCCTTAGGGACATTTTGTTCAAGGCCATGCTGAGATGGCAGCCTGCAGGCGAGCGGACCTGATAGCACAGATTAGCACAGGACGACAGAGGGAGAGAAGAGGCATCACTCGGAATCACTCTCTCCAACGCTCGGCGTTCCCGCCGATGGCGGCGACGCGCGCCGGGAGGGAAGCGTGGCGTTTGGGAGCGTTGGGACGGTCCCCGCGGGAGAGCGTCTGCTCCTCGGGAGCGACACCTCGCCGTCACACCGAAGTGGCGCGACGCCCTCAGCACCTTGGGGCCAACTCGGTGCCTTGTTCAAGGGCACCTCAGCGCTGTTTATGTTGTTCATTTTCTCCACTTGGTCAGTGTGTGCCGAGGCGGGCCGCAAATCTCCACTTCTTTGGCAGATATATTCTTTTAACTCTCAGAGTTTGGAGCCCATCCAAGGAGGAGCCGAATGATTTGTTTCGAGCTGCTGACACGCAGGTTCTCCGACGGCACCTCCCACTTTGTTTAGCTTACAGACTATTGCAGTAGGCCCGTTTGGTACGAAGGTGGCCACATCGGGACGAGCCGTCAAATCTTTCCTCTGACCAGAAATCGATGGTTCTGATCAGAATTCATTGGCCGTGGGAGTTCTGCAAGTACGACGCATCATGTCAGACAGACGGCTAGATACTCCTACTTTCCCATGAAGCTGTTACTGCACTAAAAAACCCCCAACAGGACTGACCTTGTGGTAGATGGAGCAGACATGCACTGATCATTTCCACTCCCAGCTGATCTTTAGTTCCAATTTTCTGAGTTTTGAGGCACCAGTTCCAATTATCCCCACTGCTGCCTCAAAGCATCTGCTCCTATCTTTCATCTGGGGTTTATTAGACTCACAAGGAGTTCCTTAGAAGATACGCTGTTGACGCATTTATACACCAAAATTGGTAGAAGATCTGTGAGCTGATGCATTCATTGACTCAAAGTAAAAACTATTCACAGGGGATTAGGAAACACAGCTTCCTGCTAAAAACTTGAGGTTATTGTTTTAAAAAAGTGCTTACACCTGCCGATTTTAATTGTCCAAACGCCAAATAATGTGCATTAACACACACAGCGGAAACCGGCTTACAGAAGCCGACGTCCTCCGCACAATACGATGCGGTGACATTGCACAGGATGAATCCATGACGAGGTGTGATTCAATTGAACCGCTGATGATCCTCCAGAGCAAGTCATAGGGAAACTGGCAGAGTGATGGGTCGCTAGATAAACATCAACGTTTTAAAGGGTTAAAAAGGGCACCGTGTGGGCAAGAAATGGGGGCAAACTTGTTTGTATCCACTTTTGTAGCCACTTGCAGATCTTTCTTGTGTTTTATTTTATTTTTTTTAGCACAGTTGGAGATTAGGAGACCACAAATTGCTACATAACCACCACTGCATGAAAATGCATGCGGACTGGAATGTATCTAAAATAAAAAAATTTAAAAAAGTAAAGGGAAAAGCTTCAAATTGTTTGAAACAAATGCTGAATTTGAAACATTAAACCTTCAATAATTTTTTGTTTTTTGTTTTGTTTCTTTCTTTCAAGAATTGTTTGAATGTAATAAATCTCACAAAGTCATTTTCCTGTTTCTCCTGGACAGTAGACCAAACAGTCCACCTCCCCTCATTCAGGCTGCAGGTCTTTGGACTTATAAATAAGTTTCTTCCTGGTCAGAAGCAGTTCATCTCCACTATCACCACATTCTCTGCTTAGGATTGCTGCAAAATCAACCAGCATAGAGCTGGGCAACAAACTGATCACTGAATAGTTGAATTATGTTGATTGCATCTAACAGACTGTCTCCAGTCTGGATGGTGTTAGTATGAATTTCATTGCTCTGGATAAGCAGTGCATAGACGGTGCGTTTGAGTGCAGCCAAACAAATGCAGCGTTTAGTTCCTGTCAGCACTGTAAAAACAACTCGGTTAAACGTTAAGCTCGCTCTGCCGACGGCAGTGCGAGGAAACGATGCTCTGCGTGGCGTGTGTCCGAAAACACGGTTCCTCCACACGACTCCACGCACGGCTCGGTGTTTTGTTTTGTTTTGTTGTTGTTTTTTTTTTTGCCACTGAACGGTCAGTGTGGAAATGGGCACGAGATGAAAAGTGTTCGCTCCGTCGTTCCTGTTTCCCCGTGGCAGTGGGAGCGCGTGGGCAGCGGCAGAGCGAAGGCTTGTTCCTTTAAGGGTGGTGTCAGGGGCAGTCAGAGGAGGAGGAGGAGGAGGAGGAGTGGGGCAGTCTCCGCTCACTTCTCCACAGCGAGGGGACTCCGAGAATAAACAATTCCCACAGACTGCACGCTCCGCACCGCAGTTCGCGCACAGTCGCAGTTTGAATTGGTATCGCCTTTTTTTTTTTTCTTCTTGTCAGGAGCAAAATTTTATTTTATTTTTTTACCTTCCTGTGTGTTTTTAATATATCAAGCCCTCTTCGCCATTTCTGCCCGCTGCCTAAAGTGTCGCTCTCATTGGATTTGCCTGCCCTCCCGTCGAATAACAACGATGCGCCTCTCGGGCTGACTGCTGGGTGGACGAGCAGGTACGTGCCGCACATGAACGCACCGCCAAATATGTGGCAATTGTCGCCGCAAAAAAGCTGGTTTTAGGCGGCGGTGGGAAGAAACACTCGGTCGACGGTACGTGGAGCGTTGTGACAGTTGAAATAGTCTCTTGCTAAGGATGGGGCTGGCCGTTTTCGTGTCGTGGAAGTGGGCAGGGGCACATATGGACAGTAGCGCTGACAAGGCTGCATAAAGAGGTGGCTTGTGCGGCTGCAACAGCCCGACGCCACCCGGTTCCTCTCCGCCGAAAACCAGACCATTGAGCAAACGTTTATCCAGGGGTTGTGTAAGTACGTGTCGTAAAGACACAGTTGCCATTACTAATTTCGACCGCGGATATCCTATAAACCTCCCGCTAAGTGTGTTTGAGCTTAATACTGATGGGAATTCCGGCTCGGTTTTTGAGATTCGGATCGTTTGGGTCGAAAGAGTCGGCTATCCCGGTTCTTTTCGTTTGTTGCGTTCCTTTTCTTGATAATTGGGATGTTTGTTATTCCTGGATATACGGAGAAGCAAATAAAAAGAGGATTTATATATATATATATCAGTGTAACACTAGTAGTGCAAACGATTCTCTTACGATTTTACAGGATTGATCTGGCAAGTCCAAATTAGGCTTCCTAAGTAGATGCCCCCCAATCCTCGCTAATTTTAAAATGAGGGAGAAATGAAAAGTTAATTTCTTTAATGACACTAAATGGCAGTAGTTCTTAATTTTGGCGCATTTAATGAATAGGAAGTCCGTTATTTGGCATTTTCAGCATTGGACCTGCTGAGTGTGGTCCAGAGCCAAATAAAAGCGAAATTGTCTGGTTCCAATCCCTGACTGGGTTCTGCATCTCTAAACAATATACAGGTAAAATAAGGACTGTAACAGACTTTGTTTTGGGGATTTCTTTCTTCTTTTTTTTTATGTGGCCCATGCATGGTTATTATTGCATTCTGCAATTCATACAACTATTTTAAAGTTTCCCACTGACCCACCAATGACCTTAATTGATCACATGACAAAACGCATTAAAAAATATATATTTTGTGCCCATTTTTCTATATTAAAATTCTATAATTTAGATCAGAAGACAGGAATAAATCTATTTTCAGAGGGTTAGATAATTTATGAATTTGAAGTTGATGACTTTTTCTTCTTCTTCTTTTTTATTTGTTTATTTTTTAACACTTTTCAGTTATCTGTCCTTCTGCAGCTCCAATTTTCAACAGAAGTGAAAAGCAGTTGGATAACTAGCTTACACCAGGCTTGACAGTTAATAATAACTTTCTACAACAAGTAGAAAGTTACGGTTTAATTCAGAAGCAATGCATTACACTGCATTACATAAACAAAATTATCTAAAAATATAGAAGGTGAATTCAAGCATAACCACATTCCTGCTGTCAACCAGGAGATTTCAGAGCAGCAGAGAACAGACAATAATAATAATATCACAAAAACAGTTATTTCTTATGTGAGTTTTTGATTGATATTGTTTTTGTAGCTCAGACAGAAGCGACAGAAATGACTAAATTCAGGGGCCCAGCCACGGTCCCCAAGCAGCCGCTAAGTGCGCTTATAACTACGGCCTGCCTTAATAAATATAAAGAATCCAAATGTCCCTTTCTGAACAGTGTCTATAAATAAAATCTGTTAAACAGAAGGTTTTAACTTTGAGAAGTATAAGAATTAGAATAGCATGGATTGGAAATGGTGAATCAAATGACAGAAGTTATGTAATTTAAGCAGCATGTACTTGGCAGGTTGTTCATAAACATTTTAATAGGTTCGACTTGTATTCCAACTCATTACAGATTACTACTTGACATGAACTACTTAGAAAATGGCTTTAGCATCTTATGTTAGTTTGTAGAAGAGTTAGGATTATATAAATGGCTTTCTGTGTCTTTTGAAGAGTCGTACCTAACTCTATTTCCAAATTCTCTGTTGTTTGACACACAGTACTTTAGCTGTACTCTTTTTGGCCTTCCTGTTGTGCGTCGAAAGTCTTGCTCTCTCTTGCTGTCTCGCGGCGTGAATAAAGAAGCTTTTCAGGAGGAAAAGCTTCTTTCTTCTGTTCCCTGTGCCTTCCATTCAAACACCTCAGCGTCCTGAAAATAGATCAGCTTGAGTCATCTCAGACCAACCTAAATGCTCTCGCGAATGATTCATTCACTGTTCAGAAAAAACAGTATTACTTTTGAGCTTCTGACATGCCAGTGACCCAGTCAGCTTCAGTGAACCTCCACATAATTTTTGAACTGAAAAACAAACATCACCAGGGCTCGGTGTGGGACAGTACTTTCATAAAACCCACACAATGGACTGCAGTTACGACTGGAGTATAAACCGTTGGAATGTGATTCACCAAACTGGCTCAAAACTGAATTCTGCAAGCCCTCCTGACTAATCAGTACTTTTACCAGCTGGTTTTTCTTTCTTTTTTTTTTTTTGCCTTCCCCAATTACCTCCTTTTACTTTTTCCAGAGTATTTTTATTTTTTAAAACTTTTTGAATGTTTGCCTCATTGCCGGAGCGCAGCGGGGGAGGGAACCGGAGCCAGAAGCTCAAACAGTGGCACCAGAGGGTAAACACTGTGGTAGAGGTTGTTGCAAAATGTTGCACAGACTTGTTGCTACAACAAATCTCCCAACACAGCTGAGATGACATTCCTTCCTCTGGTCCATCATGAAACAGCCGTGGTCTGGAAACATGGCTTTGCTAATAATCTTCATTAATGCTGATTTAGTTTGTTCGCTCTACCTAAACTCCCCCTGCCGTGTGTTCTTGTCGGAAACCTTTCTCCGTTCCCCTCGTAGTTCTTTAGAATAATGAACAGCTGATTCTCCAGTTCAATCTATTCCTTTGTTACCATCAGGTCAGATATATTTAGATTGATTTATAAGATTTTGGCTCCGTTTGGACCAGTTGTGAGACTTATGGAATGGACTCTGTAGGCATTCTTGTCACTTCATTGGACTTTGGATGAGTGCGGAGGCAGAGGTCAGGACCGGACGTTTTCTCAGAGCTGCTAGCGAGAGGGCAAAGTACAACTCCAATTCAGACTCTAAAAGGCTAAATTATCTTGCTTACTGGATCATTTATGTGTCGTAACATCAGGTTGAATGAAAAAGTTCTTTCAGAAATAAGTTGCAGCTCCAAAAAAAACCCCCAAAAAACCCAAAACACACAATTTGAAGTAATATAAAAAAAGAGCGCAACTTTTTAAAGCCCTCTAAGTCCCGTCTGCGCCTGGAGGTCTGCCTTTTTAGCCTTTCTTTTGTCGAACATTTAAGCTGCTTAATTATTTGACCTGAACTCACACGAGATGTTCAAGGTAGCTCAGCTCGTCCTCTGCTGCCTTAGATTACTAAAACCTCCGCACACACAGCCTGAATGCAAAAGCTGCTCGACAAAACGATCTTTTTTTTCCTCTCTCTCTCCCTTTTTGTTTTTTTTTCTGGCCCGTGTGTTGTTGCTCAGTGTAAACCTGCGTGTCAGACGAGCTTGATTTGCCTGAACCATCTGCTGTGGTGAGTGATGTGTAGTAAGTAACCTGCAACCAACAGCAGAGAACATTCAAATGACCCGATGCAAATGATGTGAAGGCGGCCGAACGGTCACAAGACTGGACTCTGCACTTGTCTGTCCTGTGTACCGGCTGCTTTTCATCACAGCAAAGTCTTATCTGACATCAAATAAAACCAGAACTGCTGCTGCTGCTGCCGCCGCCGTGGGAACATTGGGTGTTTTGACGTCTTCGTGGTCACGCAGGTGTGATGAAAAACACAGAATGTCATGCCGTTTTGCTACTCTGTCTTTTTAAGGGTTTCGGAGTGTTCCGACGTGGCTGATTTCAGCGACAGATATCGAGCCATCAGTCTCTTCTAAGCGGGTGGTCTCCTGCTTTTTGACGACTGTCAAAAAGCAAGAGAGGAGATGGGATTAATGTATATTCCACCAGAGCAAGTGTTGTGCGTTTACTGCAGAGTTCTTGATTTATTATAGACCTGGGAGATGCCCAGCACTCGTGTTGTTGGCCACTGAACATTGTTCAAGGGCACTTTGACTGTGGCTGTTGAGGAGCAGTAATACGTCTCTCATCTCCTTATGGGCCGGCACTTTTGTCAGCCCACTGGGGATTCAAACCACAGACCTTTAGGCCGCCGCCTCATTTCTCTGATTGTCTGGGCTCAATAATCTTCACCTGGAGTGTCCATTCAGCCAAATGGTTTTATTGTTTATTCAGTAAACACTCCCCAACAATAGTCGGTGCGTTATTGGACGGAGATGATGTTTACAGCAATTAGGCTGTAAATTTCTTATTGGGAATAAAGCATTTTCTCTCAGATAAACGAGACAAAAGTTAATGATGATCTGATGTTTTTACTGTTAATTTGAATCCAGGCTCTTTCCTCTGGAAATGCAATATCTGTCCTCTGTTATCTAACGGATTTAAAGTCCTGTTAGTCTCGTGGTAGGATAATGATGGTTAAGATTTAAAGCAAAAATTTATCACACTTTTTTTTCCCCCTTCTGTAAAACAAAAGCAACAGCTAAGAGAAAGCATATTTGTTGTTATAGTTTCATTGATGTTTATCTATATCAATTTATTTTCTGAATAAACTCCGGCTAAATTTTAGATCACTTTCTGCTCTTCTTTTTAAAGACTTGCAACGAGCTGATATCAACTGGCTGATCATCAGAGTTTCTGCTTCTTCAGCCTGCAGCCGTCTGCAAATCCGACCTGCAGCTTTTAGTTTGCAATTTGTAGATTTGAAACGGCATCCTCTAAATGACAGCGAGGGATTCACCTCCTTTAGTTTTGGAGCCGACTTTTAGCTGGCTGAACAGCAGAATAGAAAGTTCCCCATCACTCCGGCACTTCCTCGGAGCTGTCGGAGTGGTAACAGGAGGAAATTGTGGAACCTTTTAAAATCTTGATGCTTCCTGATGTGGTGACCGGCCTGTGGCTAATACCTGAACCTT